TTTAACGATAGGAATCTCCTTAGATCGGACATAAAAGAGGGCTCGCCTTCTGTATGAATAGAGGCTGGCGCCCCAAATATTGAGAACAGCGAGCAAAGATAGTATATGAACGTTGTTGCACTTACATCTGAACAAGAAAATTCAAAATGGAATCGCGTGTAGTCGTCAACGACAGTAGATATTTGTTTCGGGATTTAGATGGAAGAACACCCTAAAATGTCTGTGTAGGCTTTACAGGGGTCCCAGATTCGGGTTTGTAAAACCTTGGTTTTATTCAAGGTCAAATCTGACAACCGGTTTTATATTCGTTTCACGTACGCAACTGAAAAATGCAAATTCGGGCTTTGAACCCCATGCATTATCCTCGTGATGCCTGGATGATAAAGATCGTTATGAACTTTTTGTAGATATCTCGTGCTGTTTATTGATCCACACACACTTGACAGCTCGTCCTCCGTGACATTTTCTTTTCCCGACCGATAGAAAACATCATACAAAAAACAAGAAAGCTCTACCCTTCATCTCGCTAATTTTTCATTTTTTTTATTTTATTTGACGTTTTGGGATTAAACATAAAAGTGACTGACTTTTGATCAAGGATTATTTTAAAAGAGTGACCAATTAAGTAATGTCGCCATTTTTTCGCGCCCCGCTGATGTCATAAGCCTCATTTTCGACAGTTGAATGTCTGCGCTGAGATTTTGACAAGGTTCTGGAGAATAACTTTACAGAGCGCGGGGGATTGGCTTAACACGGCGGCTATGGCGTCGTCGGAAGCTTCAGTTTTCACTTCTCGGATTAACCGAAGTGATGGCTTAGATGGAAATATCTCATTTTAATCCCTCAGATTATGGCAGAAGAAGGTAAAGGAAATTTTGTAATTCTTGTAAGTGGGTGTAAATTTTTTTCAGAAAAACGAGGGTTAACTTTCAAAATAATAAGCCAACATAAACACGATTTGTCGCAAGGCCGTTATGGTGTTGGGAATTGGTAGTTTTCGCAGTGGTTTTGGCCGTTCAGGTTCCGGGTTCATGATTCCTTTATCCACAATATATCCAAGTAGTCGGATGATTGTCAACACATGAGAACTCTTGTCATGGTTCTATGAAAAGTATAAACTGTTAACAAGAAATAGTTTGTTGTATGTATGTATTTATATGATTTAATTTTCAAAACACGATCCATGTTCATAGTTGATATTATCAAAATATAATAATAGTCTAAAAATATTGGTATCCTTATTAATAAAAACCAAAAAACAACACTCAGTAATATCAACTCTTGTATATTTTACTTCTGCTTAATACATCTAACTTAAATTTTGTAAACTCTATCTAGTGGCCATCTAATTTTATTTCTACAGTTACAGATTTTACTGTTAACAATATATTACTGCGTTAATTTTAAAATTCGTTTCCGTTTTTTCTTTTTCTTTTTATTGAGTTTTCTAAATAGTGCAGCTTAATACAACGATGTTTTTATTAAAGATCTTGTATATATATATATATATATATACACACACAAGACCTTTTATTATATATATATATTATTTTTTATATATATATATTAAAGATCTTGTGTGTTTATATATATACACACAAGATCTTAATATATATATATATATATTATCTTTTATATATATATATATATATATATATATATATATATTCGACTCTCCGATCATATTCGCCGTATGAAGTTCAAGCAGCTTTCCCAACAGTATTAGTACATAAATGAATGCAAAGGTTTCGACTGGAATTCGAACTGGGTTCTCTGATTCTGCAATCTAAGTGCTATATATATATATATATATATATATATATATATATATATATATATATATATATATATATATATATATATATATATATATGAATGATCTGGAGTTCTCCATATCAATCATTCATTAATTTACATAATTCTGTAGTGATGATACAATCAAAAAACATCCAGAATAAAACTGTCAATTTAAGCTAATTTTAAAATGATATACACTTGAATTGTCTATGGCCCATAATTAGGAAAGAGGGCTTAGAAAATTTGACATTCACAAGAAGAATTGATAAGACAGAGAAACGCATAGTCCACTTAATGTGCATATGTATATATGTAAGTAGTTGGTAGAAGAGGGATTAGGAGTGATTTGAAAACAACAAACTTTATTAAAAACTACAAAGAAGAGGGAATTGTATAGAGTCATGTAAACCCACGTCCCTAAGGGACGTGGTACATAAAATAAGAAAACAAAATACTGACTTCATCATTCAAAGAAACAACCTTAATCGCTCGAGATAGTATTTTAAAGAGTTTATAAGTCGTTTAATATATGCACAAAATGCTTCACTATTCGTATCTGGAGTTTAATAGACTGTTTCTACAATTATCTTCAGTAAATCAGCAGTCTGCCTGGAAAAATGGAAGCCATATTGCTTCTCTGAAAAAAATGTCCTGTAATGTGAGATGCATAACCAATTATGTTAAATTAACGCCCTGACCAAGAAAATTATTACATTAACACGTTTTATACTAAAGTCTAGATGACCAACCCTTGGCAGTTGAGCAGTTCAATGCAGAAATAATCAGCTTGCATCATTTGTTGCCGCCAAAACTAAGCTAGTAACGTTTCAATATTCCCGTGAAGATATTATATTTTCTCAAGTCCTGAAGAATTATTGTATACTCATGAAGATTTCTTGAACGTCTGTGGAACTCGTTCATACGACCCATCGCAAAATGCTGAAAAGATGCAAGGTTCTGCGTACCGCTACCTAATGTACTGGATTGTAACAGACCAAACTAACCTTCGCAGAATATAAAAGCATTTTCGCGGCATTTTGAATGATGGATTATTGTCAACCCTAACAAATCTTCTCCACAGAAATAAACTTGTTTGACTATCATCTCGCTATTTTCTTCGCAAATGTTCAGACAAGTCGTAATACTTATTTCCATTAAGTCAGAGCTTTGTGATCCTGGACCGCCTGGATATAATATTCTATAGTAAATTCTTTGAAGTTATTCTTTCTCGTTGACTCATTGAAAATGAACGATATGATGCGCGGGCTAATGGTTGAGGCCATATATTCCTGGCTTTACTTTCTTCCAACGAGCCATGCGGTTCACATGAATATCTTAACCGTCTCCATTGTATGTTTGTCTTCGAATTTTAGTACTAACAATTCTAATTTAGCTTCTGCTACCTTTGTTCGTAGCACGTCATGAAATGTTTTACTTTTATTTTTTTTTTCATTTTTTTCTCTTTATTAATTCTTAATTGAAGTAAATTGAGTCTTCACTCGTTTTTCGAAAGTTTGGATAAATTTTTTTGAAATGTTTTTCTCGTTGAATCATTCAAAATGGATGATATAACCTATGGGTTAACGGTCGAGGCGTACATATTCTTGGCTTTACATTCTTCCAACTAGCCACGCGGTTCATATGAATATCGTACCAGTCTTCATTTTATGTTTATCTTCGAATTTTAGTACTAACTTAATTTTAATTTACCTTCTGTTGCGTTTGTTCGTACCACGTTATGAAATGTTTTTCGTATTTTTTTCTTTATTAATTATTAATTGAAATTAATTTCGTCTTCACTCTTTTTCGAAACGTTTGGATAAATTCTTGGAATTTCTTTTCTTTTTGACTCAAACAACAATGAACGATATGAGTTTCCGGGCTCCCGGATGAGGCACTCTTTGCACTCAAGATGTGCATATTGGGATATTAATTAAGTTAAAACTTTTTATTTCAGTTTCAAAACGAAATTAAAATTTAAAAATTTTATTTTTCAGTTGCAATACTGAATGACTTGCACGTGATTCTTGGACTTCTTGTAAGCAGCTTGTTTGTTTGCTTTTGTGTGTGTGTGTGTGTGTGTGTGTTAGTGCGCATGCAACAGAAGTAGATTCGCTATTGATTGGTAACTGCCTACATTATGTGAAGGGATTACCAGAGAAAATACGCCTGGTTAAGGCGGTGGAGAACTTGGAGAGGGGAATTAACAGGAGATAACTGATATCCATTAGACATGGCGCGTTGAACTAAAACAGTCAACCCCAGTGAGCCAAATAAAGGGTTCAGTTCGACATTCCAACCCCCTGAAGAAGGCCGGAGCTTACAACGGACGAAACGTTGTAATAAATATGGCAACAAAGATGAGGACAATAGTCCGAATAATGTAAATTGTGTACATAATACCTCATCTCAGAAATATAGACAGATAATCTTTCTGTAATTCTGAAATTAACACTTTATTAATTCCACAGAGTAGAATGTTATCATTCTACTCTCCATTTTTAGAGGATATCTTGTATAAATTGTATCATCTGATGATTTGTGAAATCTGTATATTACTGCGACGTCTAAATTTTAAGAACAAATGTAGACGGCCGAAAGAAATTTTGAAGAGGAAATCTGCGCAATATTTGGAATTTAAAATGGAGGGTAAGATAATAGTATGATATCCAAACGAGATGTGTTGGAAGGAGGAAATATTAGTGGTAAATTGTGAGCGTACCTCGAGAATCATCGGTATCGCAATGCTGTGTAAATTTCTTGTCATGTCAATAGAGTTCACATTGCATTATCACAATTAGTCAAAATATGAATCCATTTATTCTGCCCTCAGCTAGGGGTTAAATAGTAAGGTAATCTGAGAGAATTCAAAAGCATCAACTACTCGAAGAAATCGAGTTTATAATTATATGGTTTACACATAAGTCTCGAAAGTTCACCGTCAGAAAACTCCAAGAATTTCAATAAAAAGTGTCACTATTTCACATCAAAACGCGCCACGCACACCTACCCACTTCAACAACGAAGAACCAAGACAAGTAGCTTTTGTTTATTGGGATAACAAAGGTTGAGATTAGTCGGGAGTGGCAGATTAGCGTAGTCGTTTTCTGTATTTAGAGCCCTACTACAGATTGATTGAACTTGATTCTGACAATTTTTTTCAAAAGTTATCACATATAACATGGATTTGTTTTCTTGGTAAGACTCACAATAGGTTTCAAGGTCACGCGGGTGATAAGCCGGAGCCTGACTGATGCCGTGCTTCTTTTTACGGGGACAATTACTGTCTCTTCTCCCGACGTATCTTCTCTCGTCATTGCGATACCCACCGAGTTATCAGGCTTCGAAGTGACTGTTTCTGTAGAGACACCAGATGCAGCTTTAACATTGATTAAACATTCGCTAAGCAATGTGTCCTCACACGTTGCTTTTATCACAGTTGCAGAAACTACGAAGTACAAACCCTTCAGGTGACGCGGTATTCCATCGACGAGAATATTGAGCGGTCTTTTAATATATGTGACGTGTGTTCTATTCGATATTACGTCGTGAACAGGATGTGTGGGCCATTGTCCCACAAACGGTCACCCAAGAGCTATGGTACTTGTCCTCTACCTTGTCCTGACGGATTCGCAGCATCAAGGCGCTTGCTGTGTATCTTATTTTCAGTTGCATTTGTGGATGATACGTCGTCTTTTGGCGTGACTTTTACCAATTAACTGCCTCCATTATTGTACACAGCTTTCCTGGAGCGATCCCTTTCACAGTTCTGCGGCATCTCTCGACTATGCCATTCCCCGACGGCGCGTGCGCACATCGCAGCCGGAGTCTGATACCGTATTCGTTTTAAAACCGCCTAAAGCGTTGGCAGAAACTTTCTTTTTATCGGCGAATATCTCGAATGTTGGAGCTTTGATGGCAGAAAACCGATTACCACTGTGAGATAATATTTTTAGTATTTTGCAACAAAAGCGGAAGTTAAATTAAATATTCCTGTGGGCTAAAGTAGCGTTCTTTTCTTGAGGTTAGAAATGTTATGACTGCTCAAGACTGCTTGGGACGCACAAACAATTTTCACATTTCTAGGCGTATTGTGCTTGACTCGATCTTGATTCTGCTTTAATTTTTCGTGCGACATTATTGAAAATGCGAATTCTCTATCGGGGAATGTGTTATGTTTTATCCTACGTCGTTATTGAGAAGGCAATGGCGTACCCCTCGATTAATTATATTTGGACTTCATGGTGATCCATAGATAATTCAGAAAATGAATTTCTGGAAAGCATTGTCTGTCTGTGTCTTGAAGGTATATGGTATTAATATTATGGGAGATTGCCAGATCGAAGCCAAACGAAAAAGAGCAGACATGGCATTAGCAAATCGGAAAGGTTGGCATATAGATGTCAAAAGGAACAGAGGGAACATGGAATTATAAAATTGAATAGGTTGACACATAGATGTCAAAAGGAACAGAATGGACATGGCATTAAATAATCGAAAAGATTGATACATAGATGTCAAAAGGAACAGAGGGGATATGGCATTAGATGATCGGAAAGGTAGAAATGTTGAATATACAAAATTTAAAAGAAAAGGAATGTTAAAAGGCATTTGAAGATCGGAATAATCGACATATTGAAATTAGAACAGACAAAAAATCGGAAATGTTGACATATCGATGTCAGTATGAACATGTGTAACATTTCATTGGAAAATCTGAAAGTTGATCTATCGGATTCAAAAGGATATGAAGGGATATGGCATTAGAGAATTGGAAAGTTTGAAATATCGAATTCAAAACGTACAGAGAGAAAATAGCATTAGAAAATCGGTATGGTTGAAATATCGAATTCAAAAGGAAGTGAATGGACATGGATTAGAGAATGGGAAAGATTGATATATCGAATTCAAAATGGACAGAGGGCGATATGGCATAAGATAATCGGAAATGTTGATTTATCGAATTCAAAAAGAAGTGAGAGTACATGACATTTGAAAAACCGTAGAGCTTGACTCCTCGAACTTAAAAGGGAGTTAGTGGACATGCCCTTAGAAAACCGGAAAGTGTGAAATATCTATGTCAAAGCTAACATAAGTGACGTCTTATTAGAAAATCGTAAATGTTGGCATACCGAAGTCAAAAGGAACAATGGGACATATCATTAGAAAATCGGAAATTTTGACATATCGAAATCAACAGGAATATAGGTGTGATAACGTTAGAAAATAAGAAAGAATAACTCCTCGAACTCAAAAGGATGTTAGGGGGCATGGCCCTAGAAAATCGGAAAGGTTGAAATATTGATATCAAAACGAAAATAGAGGAAATGTTATTAGAAAATCATAAATGTTGACATACCGAAGTCAAAAGGAACAGAAAGGACATGTCATTAGTTTTCGGAAAATCAGATATACCGAAGTCAAAGAATACAATGGGACATCAGATTATAATGACAAAATGATTGCCATATGCGAAGAGAAAAACGGATATGGTATTAAAAAATTGTGAATATTTCATAATTGTATCAATATTAACAGAGGTTATGTCTGTATGACAACTACCTGACGTGCATATGAGATAGTATGACAGAACAGTGAGTTAGAGGGAGGGTAAAATGTTGTGGAACGCTTTGATCTAGTTATCTGTATAGCATGAAAATAACGATTGTTTACCTCCTGCATTATCATGGCAAACCTCCTTGGTAACTCACACACGTACTAAAAAGAGTTGATTAGTATTAAAGACACCCGAGAGAGTAAAAGCTGAAGGGACGCTGCATATAGACGTAGAATCTACGATTTCAAGTCTATTCTTTTACGATCATTTTGCTCAAATGGCCGTTTAAAATGCATAGATTTCATCCTTCTTTTACAGTTCGGTATATGGCAGAATATATTAGACGTTCTTGTAAAGAATGCAACATGAAATCACGTCATAATCTTCATGGGTTATTATTAATGACTTTTCACAAATCAAGTTGAACCATACTTGGCCACTTCCTCTCAGTAATAGAAAAAAGCGAATTAAATTAACAATAAGCAAATGTACATAGTACGTAATATTTCTTTTAAACCAAACATCGACACATTACAGACGTTGTTATAAAACCGGCGACATGAATACTGAAAAAGAAAAATCCTTTTGAAAATTTGTATCGCTGCTATTCGATACAGACGTCTCAGGGTGAAATCTTTTATTTGGCTTCATTTTAGATTTGAAATTAATTCTGTATACAGTTTAAAAATAAAGATAGACATACGAAGAAAATCCATCAATGAATTAAAGGTTCGAGTAAAAAGGTTTATTAACTTATTTCAATCACAGATAAATTGTAAATGAGTAGTTAATTTTGGGAATATTCTTCAAGATAAAAACAGAAAAGTGTAAATATATTTCATGAAAATTTTTTATATGTGCCCAAACAGCCATTAAACTATGATGAATATATCCACTTATTTACAAGTAACAAAATAATATCATCACCCTTGTTAACATTCATAGAGCCAGATATGTAAGTAAGTATATATATATATATATATATATATATATATACAATCACACACACATATATATATAAAGAAATATAGTCTTAAGCTGTGCTACATTTATGGGATAAAGTGCTCAGTATGTAAATATAAAAGTGAGAATTAATGTCAACACTTAGAGGTGACAGACTCTATCATGCTAGATGCAATCGTCGTGCCTGACGATTGCATCTAATATGAAATAGACTGTCGCCTCTAATGTTGACTATATATATATGGAATGAGAACGAATCACATATAAATTCAAAAGTTCATAATATAGGGCTCAATCCAATCCAATAGCGGTTTTGTACATGTTTGACTGTAATATCATATAATGAAGTGTATATATATATATATATATAATTGATCCTCACATAGTTTTCTGTTTTTTTTTTTTATACTTATTCTTTAACTATTTTTTGCCTTTTCGTTTAATAAACCCCTTTTTTTACTCCCGTATATGTTACAAATTCACCCTTCCTTCCTTCCTTCCTTCCTTCCTTCCTTCCTTCCACTTTTTCTACATTCCTGGATTTGTTTTTATTCTTTGTTTAATCTTGCCCTTTTTAGTTTTGAAGTAATATACACAATTTTATTCTTTCTATATCATTCATTCATCATACCTTTCATTCTTTCTTTTTCCCTAGTTATTCCGTCATTATTTTTATTATGTTTCTACTAAATTCATATAGACGCCATTTTCTTACTTCTCATATTACTTCTTTCTTTCTTTTTTTCTTTTCTTCTGGTTTTCATTCTTTCTACCTATGTTTCTTGCTATACTTCATTTATTTTTAAAATTTTTATTTCTTTCATGCTTTTTTCTTTATTTATTGCTATAATTATTTTTTCTTGCTATATTTCATTCATTTTTGCAATTGATCTTTCTTTCATAATTTTTTCTTCCTTTATTTGTTTATTTATTTCTACATTCATTTTTTGCCATGTTTCTTTCTTTCATTTTCTTTATTTCTTTCATTTTTTCTTTCCTGCTAATTAACTTCGTTCCTGCTATATTTCTTTCTTTTTCTTTCCTTCTTGCTATATTTCTTTCTTTTTTCTTCTTTTCTTCTTACTCTGTTTCTCTTTTTCTTTTGTTCTTTCTATCTGTCTGTCTTTCTTTTTACTTTCTTTCTCCCTTTCTTTTTGCCTTTCTAGCTATATTTCTTTTTCTTTCTTGTTATATTGCCTTCTCCCTATACTTACATTTCTTCTTTCTTTCTTTCTTTCTTTCTTTCTTTCTTTCTTTCACGTTATTTTTGTCTTTACTTTTTTGAATTAATAACTACTGTTGATCTTACATCAACGCTTTTCTTCTTTCTTTTTCTCTTTCTTTTTCTCTTCTTTTTTCTCTTTCTTTCTAGCTATATTTCTCTTCTTGCTTTTTTTCTTTCTTTTTGTTTTGTTATATAGCTTTCATTCTCGCAATATTTCTTGGATTTCTGCCTTTCTTGTTCCATTTCTTTGGTTCATGTTCTATTTTATTCTTCTTTTACTTTCTTTCTTTTTTTTTTAGAATTTTTGCCTTTTCTCCGATGAATGAATAAACATTTTATTTTCCATTATCTTATATGAATATTTTCTTACTAGCTTTCTTTCTTTATCATTAGCTTTTCTTCCATCATTCTCATCCCTTTCTCGCCGCGCCTAATTTATTCATACTTATGAATATTCCCAATTTACATTTTTTCTTTATACAGAATTTCTATTCCCTTTATCGCATTCATGCTATTTAAAATCATCCTCTTAACAGCTAAACGCAATTACCCCCAAATCCAATATGACTGATATTCTAATCGTTGTTTCATTTTATTTATTCTTATATTAAATGGCCAAAAAAGATGTCGAAAGAACAATTTATCCAAGGGGAGATAACCTTCTATGTCCCTTAGATCATTTCAAATAATTTGAGCTTTGATCCTAATGATGAATTTTGTTTTAGAATTTGTATATTCTCCAGTGTTTTTGCTATATATTTTCAAATATTAATGTTAGCTTAATATATACATAACACGGATCTCTTCGGGAAGTATGTGTCAATTGCCTTCTAAAACAGAATGCCATTGGGTTAGATTTGAACTGGAGAGTGTTATCTTAATTCAACAGCAGAAGAGTTAAAACAACAAAATAAATATTAATCAGAGAGCATCGGAATTCACCTGAATTTAAATGAAAAAATTACAATACTAATATATGGGGCTCAAAATGTCCAAAAATATGTGTGACCAAATATTAATATGAAATCATTTTAATACTGAGAAGCGATCATTATTTTTCAAAAAATAAATTATTTAAGGAAAGCAGGCTGAAAAAAGGAGTATATGAGACCTTATATATAATGTAGGGTAGACAGTATTTCAACAAGGGCGGGTTTGTTTTTCCGTCACTATTTCACCATCATGTTTTGTTAATTCTAATTATTGACAGAAAAGGGCATCTCAAGGTGGTGTAATGGTTACCACGCTTCGTTTGCTAGTATAATTAAGACTGAATAGTGGGTTCGATCCTCACTGGGAGCTCGAATTCTTTTGGCCTTGTGCCACATCTAACCTGTGCGTAGAAAATCATTTCGGGCACCCCGCCGCGGTGTAATGTTTAGTAAGCTTGTCTAGCTAGAACAATTACGATTGAGTAGTGAGTTATATCCGCACCGGCGCCCCATCCTTTCGGCTTTGTGTCACATCTAAGCTACGCTTGGAAAATCACAATTATAGATCGAAAAACACTACATCAAATGCAGGATCAATACACTCGCGTCCACGGTCACAGGAATTTCCTCGTGTTCGGGCGTATATGTAAATTTTTATGGTGATTAAAAGGACAAATAAAGACCATATCAAATTTACATCAAGCTTCCGTGAGAGGATAAGCAGCAAAAGACGATCACTCAAAGACGATCGCTTGCCTTGAAAATGCGTGTCCGTTACGTGCCAGCATAGAAATACCATTCCATGCGATTCAGGTCCTTTAGTGCGTCAAGACCCAAAGAGGCGCAGAAGATAAATTTTACAGACTCTTCCTTTCGCTTTATAAGACAATATGATGAAAGATTCCAATAATCTTTACTTTTCTTTAATCATTTCCTCGGTTTTGTGAACGTTAACTCACAAAAAACATCGCCCACTCGTGAATCGTTTCAATGCTTTTTGCAGTATATCTGTGTGCGTGAGTAAGTGTATATATATATATATATATATATATATATATATATATATATATATATATAGATATATATATAGATATAGATATATAGATTGATAGATAGATAGTTGCATGCTAAGGCAATCTTCAGTCAAAAGAATATACAATGTGCTTGAAAGTCGGGTTACTATTAGAGCCATCCTTTCGAACGAATTAACGTTTGTTAACGTATTTTTTGGTTTTATTTATTTATTTATTCATTTATTTACTGTGTAGGTTTTAGGCCTTTTTCTTTCTTTTTTCATTATTGTCCGTTTAATTCAAGACTGTATCTATATAGATGATTAAATTTTCTGCAAATTGTCCGTTTATTACATCAAATAATTTTTTTTTTTTTATATATGAATTATTGCAACTATTTATAGTATATACATTGTCCGAATTGTAGTCCTCATATCTATCGAGCTCACCTTTACTGCCATGCCTCCAAGGAAACATGGCCCAGGAGATAAAATTGTTGATTGAAATAATTCAAAAAATGACTTCATCCAAAAGATTTGGGAGTTCATTAAATGACCACTGCATAGTTGAGTTGTTAATGGGTATAAAATGAAAGTGCAACATTCAGAAAAAGCTTGGCACGCGGAACGATAACAATCTACCGACTTGGACTAAATAAAAGCTTCGGTTCAAAATTCCAACCTGTATCACCTGAAGAAGCTCAGAGCATACGACGGTTGAAACGTTGTGGATATGACAATAAAGATAAGAACAACAATCCGAACAATGTAAATAATGGGTATATATATATATATATATATATCGTATTTAATGTGCATTGTATAAGTACAGAATATGAAATGAAAAGGACAGTTTCAATCCAGTAGCTATAAATTTATTTAACGATTTTAACAATACAAAAATATGATTTTTTTAAGTCAACAGCAGATATATATATATACATTTATTAAAGACATTTTTATGTTTAACGTTCTTTTTTATAAATACAAGTATTTAAGTAAATGCTCTGTTTATAATAAACAGTATTAAATAACATTTACCAGCCTGACAGGATACGAACCTGCATTCTATACAGAAACATCATTTACGCTGACGTGCCTAACCTCTCGGCCACAAATTTCTCGGACATTCAGGCCAGTAAATGTTATTTAATACTGTTTATTATAAACAGAGCATTTACTTAAATACTTGTATCTATAAAAAAGAACGTTAGACATAAAAATGTCTTTAATAAATAAATTGTCGGACTTTGTCCATTTCTTAATATATATATATATATATATACTTGCTTTGTCTTATGGTGTTTTTTTTTGTTATCGAAAATGTGTATGTTAGATGAATTATCAGATATGTGTATTTGTTTGATGATTGAAGGTTGATGATTGGAGGATTTGTTTACGTAAGTTGGTGTGTCATTATCTTTTTTGTACACTTTGTATGTATTGTTGTTCAGGTTAAGATACCTCTCATACCTTTTTTATTATTTATACCTAGCCAGAATCCTGGAGAAAAAGGACACGAGGCTATACAGAGGTGAGGGGTGTATCCTGATAAGTGAACACAATGGCCCCAAATTAGACAAATTTAGGAATAAAATATTAAACACCCTAAAACCATTGGATTCCAAATAGAAATAAATGCAGGTACAACAAGAGTAAACTTCCTTGACGTCACTCTTAACCTGAACAACAAAAAACATTTTCGATAACAAAAAACAGCATACGATGAAGCACTAAAAGCAAGTGGATACAAACAACAACTGAAATATACATCTACACAATCAAAACGCAAAAAACAGAAAAAGAAATATTATCTGGTTTAATCCACTATACAACAAAACCGTCAAAACGAACATAGGTAGTGCATTCCTAAACTAGAAAACCACGACTCTGAAAGAAACCGATTAGCAAAAATATTCAACAAAAATAACGTTAAAATCAGTTACAGCTGCACATAAATAAAACAGATATAATAAAAAAAATGACAACCCACAAAAATGAAACCAAAGAACCACAATGCAACTGCAGAAATAGAACAACATGTCCACCCCAGGGAAATTGCCAACATGTACACACCAGGGCAATTGCCAGCAAACGAATACAATATATAAAGCTAAGCTAAGTGCAAACAACAGCACATGTACTACATCTGTGCCATTGATGGTCCATTCAAGAAGAGAAAATCGACCACAACCTTTCATTCTCCAACAGAAAATACTGGAACAGCACTACATTATCCACATACATATGGCATCTAAAATACAGAAATATTAAACCAAGAATAAGCTGGAAAATATTGAAAAAAAACACCTGCCTACAACTTTACAAAAAAATATGCCTATTTGCCTAAACGAAAAATTAGCAATAATATCTCATACCCAACAAAAGAGTTTTCTAAGAGAAGAACGGAAATAAATTCCAAATGTAGACATGAAAATAAATATATATTATCAGAATTTATACCAAACGTACACAAGAAACCATCACATAAACCACCAGTGTCTCTGTAAACATGAAAAGGGAAACATCTGCTACCATAAGGCCAAGAATCAATCTCTCGTTCAGGCTACCATCATAATAATTTCATTTACTGTTATTATTATTCCATCACCATTACTAATCGCGTCTACCACTTTACAATAACTATTTGCTACTACAATTATTATTATGATCAATCAATCCCCCCACCATTACTACAACATCGCAATTACTATTGCCATATTAGTCCGCAATCACCATTATCGCAAATTTCTCCTCACAACATCCCCGCCAGCAAAATTAATACCACCGCATAAAAACTAATAAGGATTACAAATTAGAATTTCTACCATTTCAATATGCGCAATCACCAAAAACAAGCAAATAACCGGCTTTAAAATAATAACAAAACAGCCTTAAATATTTAAAAATAACAGCAATTTTTACCTATCATATTTTTACCTATCATATTTTTACACAGACCCCATCATACGTATATACTAGCGTGCGAGGAAATATTATTCAGCGGAAAAATAGGAAAAACGGTTGTCGTGCTAGCATCGCTACATTGAAGAGAATTATTGGCTACATATCCCATCATCGAAATTCAGCAATCAAATGATTGCGTATGTACACAGCAGCACACATATACATATATATGTCAAGTCCTATACTGTTCACATATTTTTATATTCGTGTGAGCTCCGGTGGGTTAGCGCGTGTGTATTTGTGTCTGCCTACCTCAACGGGTGTACGGGCGTGCATGTATGTTTGCGTAAGCATGAGTGGCGTCACGACGACAATTTTTCGTACCACTTCCATAAAAACACCTACATAAATCCAGAATTTAAAAAAAAATAATCAGTTGGTCTGACGGTCGCAAAAGCGTGAAACCCAGGGTCACAAACTCATATCAATCCATATATATATATATATATATATATATATATATATATATATATATATATATATCCAAGTATATAATTGGTGTATATGGAATGAATGCCAATAACCAACAATTACTATTCT